CCGGGGAGTGCAGGCGGGCCCACCCCATCCGTTCTCGTAGTTCTGCATTAGCTCTCTCAGTCCCAGGAGCTTATGTAAACAACAAAACAAAACAAATGAAAAAAAACCCAACAAAACCCCAAACTTCAGCCCCACGGACGGCTTTGGTGCCCAGTAACCATCAGCGTGTGGGAGCGAACGTAGCCTCCCTGAAAAAACACGAGCCCCACGGAGACGCACAGCTGGAGTTGTGCATCTTAAATGTAACCGAGGATGCACACGGCTTCCCAGAAACCTCGGTAAGTGGGTAAGGATTTGGTTTTAGATGGGAGGAATGCCTTCGGCATGGCGGGTACCTAATGTCACGCTAGCAACGCCTTTGTCCCCGTCCCGCACCGCTGACGAAACCAGCGTGTCACCCAGGCGGGGAACCGTCTGGTAAGCGCTGCCAGCCAAGCAGGGTGCAGAGGACAGAGAACTCACTCGTTCGCTCCCACCCTGCCCTGCCGCGTCTAAGAATCGCATGGTAAATAACCCACGTGAGTTAATGCTGCTGCTCCCCACGTCCTCAAATGATCAGTCTCAGAGATTTCATGCATAAATAGATATTTTGGTTGGCAAAGAAAGTACTACCTATGCAAAAGAGGCCTTGAAGTGCTTACCGTGCTATGCAATTGGTTTTAAAATTTTTACACATTTGTAGCATAGTTTCTTCATAGTACAAATGCTTCTCTCTCTTTTGGCTTGTTTTCTTCCCCATGGAAAAGTAGGGTGGTCTTAGTCGTACTGGTAGCAACATCCCTCATCCCAGCTCGCTGTCAAGAACAGCCAGGAAGCAAATGTTTCTCCGTCTGTCTCTGGCAGCCATTCCCTTTTACGCAAAAAGTCAGTCCCCTGGAGTTAGTGAGCTATTTCCCGTTCCACTCCTTTTATTCTGTTATCAACTTCACTGTGTTGACGTTCTAAAAAGAAAAAAGGAAAAAAAAAAAAGCCTGTACTGAACGTTCCTACTCTGTACAGACTTTGTAGTGAGTAGCTAAACAAACGACGTGTGAAGCACACGCAGTTCCTCTCTCGTGCATACAGTACGGCCTTAGTTGCAGGCTAAAGTACGGCAGCATGGAAAAGGTTCATTCCAAGGGCTTCCCTACGTTACAGATACACATGGATTGCTCTTCCAGGCAATCCAAAGGCTCTAACACGAGGCTACAGCCTGTCGCTCTAAACGCAAAGGAGTGTCACTATCAGTGTGAACCACGCTGAGAATCCTGCGTCGCAGGACTGGGGGCACAGCCTAACTACAGAGGGACAGGGGCGGGGAGCTTGCAAAGCCTACTGCGCGCAACTTGATCAGCAAATTTCCGTAGCGTCAGGCATCCTCCAGGTTCAGGTTTTCCAAACAATCCTCCAGCACTGTTAAGAAAGAGAAAATTGCTTTTGAAGTATTTAAATAATGTCGTTGATAATGAGATAAATTATAAAGGTTGTTATTCCCTTGCAAATACTGCTAGACAATGCACTGCATGACAGACAACAAAGCTGTTTCCAGAAAAGACACAGATACAAAATTAAGGGTTCATTAAATCTTTCTACTGCAATAATCTTTCATGTGACACATTATGAGCTATTGCGGGGGTGCATCCCCTGCTTCCTTCCCAGAGCTGAACAAGCAGCACTGCTCCCTTAGGTCACAGGCAGGCTGGCCCATGGCTTCTTGAGAGCTTAAGCAAAAATGAGTTGACACAGAACAGGCTTAAAGGCAGTCCCCATCCCATGGCTGTTCATTTGTCACTGCGGTTCTAAATAAACCTTTTCAATGAATAACAGTATTTAAATAACTTCATTTTAATTTTAATCAATTTCAAATTGATTAAGGAATACTTACATTCTCTTTAATAATAAAAACTTGGTTATGCAACATTAGTCGTAATATCCTTGCAAAGCCAGCTCCTTTCTTTAGGGATATAACAGCACTGACAATCTCAAGAAACCAAACCCCAAAACTTAGATTAGACTTCACTTTTCCTATCTCCTTCCCTACTGCTGGTCTGGGCCCGGTCTCTTCTGATGCCATCGGAAATAAAAATTTTAGAAAGATCATTATAAAAACGCTGCTGTCAGGTGAAAGCACAGAAGGAGTCCAGGATGCAATGGGAGGGGTTACTCCTGCAGGGCAGAGGCCAGGCTGCTTTCTCAGAGCTGGACACAGGCGCTCAGCTCAAAGTTGTGCAGCTGGAGTAGCTTTTTGTACTTCAGCACCAGCTCTGTCCCTCATCACCACAACTTCCTTTGGGAGCGCTGGCACACTGGCTCTTTGTCTACTGGGACTGTCCCCTCACCCACGCTCTGGGGTGAGGAGCTCATGCTCCAGGTCCCCAGGCTTCATAACTTCATCCGCTGCTCCTCCAGAGCCTCCTTTTTTAGTTTTCTACTCTCTGTCATTTCAAAGAGCTCATGAGAATCCTGGCAGACCATGGGCCTAGTTTCACTTCCAGCACCAAGTGGCAGCCATTCTGGTTACAGGGCCAGCTTCCAAATTCTCGAGCGCAGTGCGAAGTGGCACACGGCTTTAGAAATGCTTTTCCTCTCACTTCCTATGCTGACACTGTAAGAAAACAAAAAACATTGCAAAGATTTCATTTTAGTCATCAGCACTGGGGAAGGCAGCCATTTTGAAGAAAAATTGACTTGTAACCCTTGGTCATATGTTCATGATGCTGTCCTTTGAAAAAGGGAAGTAAGGTAGAACAGGTCAGCAAACCAACAAGCAAACCGAAGAAATTAAAAAAAAAAAAAGTGTGCTGCTTAACTTTTGGCAGACTAATTTTACAAAGGTACCTGTGAAATTAAAAGAGGGAAATGGTCACCACCATGATGACCATGACAGTACAGGATTCCCCTGTACCAGGTAGTCAGTAACCCAACTGTCCTTACTTGCAGACATCCCTGGCTGGGGCTGTCCCATGCTGGGCCCTTGATTCATGGGAGCCTGTGGCATGCCCGGAGCATTTGGGATCATGTTTTGCTTCTGCAGCCTGGTTCTTCGTTTCTCCTCCAACTCCTTCTGAATCTTATAGATCTTCTCTGCTAGCAAGTGGTAGTACTCTGCCTGTTGGGGAGGAATACAAGTCAGGAAAGGAGATGACAAACACATATGAAGCAAAGACCGCAGGTCCCAGTGATCCAAGCTTGGAAAACAGCCTTCCACACACACACTTCTGCTTGGGTGGGGGTGGCTCTCCCTTTGCAGGGGCTGCCGCGCAGACAGGAGGGCAGAAAGGGGCACTGCTCGGGGCATTGCTGGCAACCATTAGGCCAACACTGGACGTTTTGCTTCTCGTGTCCTCTCACATCCAACACTTCCTTGGGAGAATCACAGCAAAGAGCTTCACGCTGCCTTCAGGGAACCCTGAGAAGTCTCAGGGACAGCACACCCTGACAGGCACCACCCTGACTCCCAGCACGCCCAGGCAGAAGCCTGCAGCTGGCTGCTTCCCAGACCCCATCCAGCAGCCCCTGAACACACGCTTCCTCAGCCTGGGACTCTCATCTGTGCTTTCGCTCCTCTTCCTCCCCAATCACTAGGGGATCAAGGCGGAGGCACACAAAACTGGATGACAGAGGATGGCATCTCACCCTGCTGTTTGCCGATTCATACATATCCCCTTCCACTTTCCGAGCATATGCCACCAGATTCTCCATACGCCGATCCTTCAGTGCTGCAGGGTCAGGAGTAGGAAATATGGCTTGGACTCTGGCAGGGGAGGGAAAAAAGAAAAGCACGCAAGTGATTAGGGTGTCCCCAGGTGGGAACATCAGCACCAACCCCAGTGATGTGAACACAAAGCAGCAAGCAAATCTTCCGACAGACTGCAGCACTGCTACTGCGCCCGGGGGACACTGGCCCCGTGTAGATGGCTTGAGCACAGAGTGGGACACTTCCAGTACAACAGCCCCAAACCAGCAGATGCAGCTCCATCTTTCGTGCTTCTGCTTTCCCTTCTCACGGACCCTGACAAAACTCACTCCCTGGTCCCCTGGTTTTGGAAGCCGGGCCTCCTCCTGCCCCACACATACATCTCAGAGGCAGCAACTCGCCTAACAGGAGATTGTTTTGATATTAGCTACTCACAATTTATGAACAAGGTGGTTTCGGAGATCCTGAGTGACTTCTCCATGCCACTGCTTCCGGCTGCCTCCTGACAGGACGGAGCCTCCTGATCCCAGGCCGAGTATCTCGGGGCTCACGGCGACCTACGCTGCTGCAGTTTACCGAGGAAAGCACCGGCCCCCCAACCCCCACCGGAAAAACTGCGAAAAAATCTTAAGGGCGGGGGGTTTCCCGGCGCGGGGCGGA